CTGAAACTGGTTTGAGATAAACCTGGTTGAATGTAGTATCAGATTTAACTGATTGAGGTCAAACCAGTTTATGGAACTTGTGTTCCAGACCCCTTCCTGGTTTAAGTTAAATCAGAGTCCTTCCGCATTCCAGCATGCTCTGCAGCCCTGGCGGCTGAGCTGTCTATTCCAGCCAAGCAGGGTTGACCCTGCTCCTCTCCTCCATAGTCAGAGCACTATCACTGCTCTGGCTGGTTAAGAAAGCGATGGGGATGGGAAACCCTGCTCGAGTGCTGCGGGGTCTTTCTGGCAAGGGAGCAGCAGCCAGACCACAGTAGTGGAGGTTTAATCCCCCCATTGTGGGGGGGAGGGGCAGCGCTGGCACTGATAGGCTCCATTTGTGCACCTGGGGCCATGGCAGCCAGATGCCAATAGCCTGAGGGAAAGGGGGGCAGGGTTAACCCCCCCATTGCAGGCAGCGGCAGCAGCAGGGGCACTGACATGGCACCCTGGGTTAAGTCCCTCTGAGGAGGGGCCAACCACCTGCGGGGAGGGCTGCTACAGGCCAGGGACCACCACAGCCCAGCCAGGCCTGCAGCCCATGAGTGCGGCCTGGCCCAGCCCAGCCCTGTGGCCCAGGGGCATAGGCAGCAACTGGCCTGGAGCAGCCCACCCTGAGTACCTGGCACCATCGCTAGCAGGCAGCAGGTGACAGGTGCCTCACCTCCACCCTCCATAATAATGTTTCCACACCACCACTGGGAGAGGAAGGGGTGGGTTGCCATGGGCCAGCTGCTGCATATGCCTACAGACCTCAAGGCCAGGCAGAAGGACCAGGCAGACATTACTAATGTGTTGGCAATCCAAGCAGGGCTAAGGTCTAGCATAATAAAATGACCTATGAAAGTAAAATGCTAGTGATAAGAAAGATTTTCCTAAAATTTATCAGTGTAGACAAATGTCAGGAACTGGCCTAAAGAATGTTCAAACATGAAGATCTTTAGGAAAAAAAATCCACCCACACTAGTCAAGAGAATTCCTCAAGCCATATAACAACTGAATTTAAACAGAATCACAAAGCTACTGTTTCAACTAAAGCAGCATGAAATCCGGACAATTTTAGTGACAGAACAGCATAATGAAATAGAAAATAACCAAAATTGGAATGTACTCACAAAACCAGATAATGGAGGATTCAGGTCTGGCACATATGCCTCAGGATAAATGTTATTTAGATACCAAGTAAAATTTTTACAATGCAAGCGTTGCCTTAAATCAAGTCTTTTTGAGATGTCTCCAAATATTTTCTGTTGGAAAAAAGTCAATAAATTCAGGTTTATTAATCAACGATGATGTTCTGTGTAGAAGCATTAAATAAGTTTAGATGTGAAAATCAAATCTAAAATCTGAAGCTTGAATTTTAAACCATACCAAGTCAAAAAAGCAAGACTAACGCAACAATTTAGGACATTAAGATTTCAGATCGACTTGTAGAGTTAGAACCCATGATCTCCTACACACACTTTAGAATGCTACAGGCAGGGGAAACACTTGCTTTCTTTGAGGCAATATGAAGCATCCTCAGTCCCAGGAGGGAATGGCACACTGCCAGGAACAGAAAAAGTGTGTGTTCAGCAGGCAAGAGATTACTTGAGAAATCTGAGCATGGCTACAAAGTTAATGGAGGGTTCCTAAGAAGAGAGTGCTGTTAGACAACCAAACGGGGAAGCCTACACCATAGCAAATATCAAGGTAACATCAGAAGACTACATGGAATAAATATTTTACCAGGTACCTTTACTGTTAAAGTATCATGTAAAGTCTAAGAGAAACAAACTAGATTAAGGTAAATAACCTGTGGGCGTAATAAAATAAAGGCCTTCTAATTCCCTCATCTTGAACTTCTATGCACATGCACCAAGTGGTTGGTAACCTTTTAAGATGCAGGTGGACAGACTCAGTTCAGGTCACAAAAAGAAAGGAGGGTATAGGATCCAGCAACAGCACAGGGAAAATGCCCACCGCTGCTCCTTCTCCCTATGACAGCATGGAAAAAGTGACAGCTGACAAAGCATAAGCCCCCCACTCCCAAAACTTCACATCTACATGCCAGATCAAATGGCTCTGCAGGCCAGATACAGCCCATAAGTTGCCAACCCCTGCCTTAGATGGCATACCCTAGAACAGTGGTTCTCAACTTCACTAGACTCAAGGCATCCCTCAGTGGACTTGAGCACCCCTCCTTAACTCTTTGTGAATTAAGTGGCATATAATTTAAAAAAATAATGTATATATATTACAGTGCTCACCTCCTTGCAGGGGGCCAGGCAGTGGGGGTAGGGGGTTAGCCACATAGAGACAAACCTCGGCCTGCATGTATCTGCTTATCTCCTCACCTAAAGGCAGGTATTTAAGGTATCTGGAAACACCTATGCAGAACCCTGGCTGAGAAGCATTGCCCTAGAACCTGAAAGGTATTTAAGTATCATACTGGCATTGATTTAAATGGGAATTAGGCATCTAAAACACCTTGGAGGATCTGGGCCTATACACTTAACATGGAAGAGGCAAGTCATCCATTTGGCAAAAAGTACTGGAATCAAGTAAAAATACATTTCAAACCACTTTGGATATTAACTCTTGTTACCAGAAACAAGTTTGAACTATAAAATAGACATTTCTCCAAATAATTAGAGGCCTGGGAAACATGACTTATTAGGAAAAGCTAAAAGAACTAGGGTTAATTAGTCTGAAGAAAAGATGGGGGGAAGGAGGGTGAGGGAGGAGAAGAGGACGTTTCATAATAGTCTTCAAATACCTATGTCTGACGGGCAATTATACAGAAGATGGAGACAGGTTATTCTCTGTAGGTGTACTAGATAGGACTAAAAGCAATGGACTCAAGGTGTAGCAGAGGAAATTTCATTTGGAGATTAGGAGGAACTTTTGACCATGACAGTGGTTAAGCACTGGAACAGGCTACCGAGAGAATTTGTGGCATTTCCTTCCTTAGAAATTTTCAAAAGCAGGTTGGACAGACACTTAGCTTGGATGGCTGAGTCAGGGATGATCCTGCCTTAGTTTCATAGTTTCTAGGGTCGGAAGGGACTATGCACCTAGTCCGACCCCCTGCCGTGGCAGGAAAGAGTACTGG